AACAAATTATGGATAACATTGCAAAGAAAGAAAATTTCAGAACATTTCATTGTGGTCATGTGGAAACTGTATGTAAACCAAGAGTCCGGTGTTTGAACAGAATAAGAGTATACTGCATGGTTTAAAATCAGGAAAGGTGTGATTCAGGGTTGTATTATTTCACCATACTTATTCAATCTGTATACTGAGCAAATAATCCAAGAAGCTGGACTATACGAAGAAGAATGAGGCATCAGGATTAGAGGAAGACTCCTTCACAACCTGTGATATGCAGATAACACAACATTGCTGGCTGAAAATGAAGACTTGAAGAACTTCCTGATGAAGATCAAAGACTATAGTATGGATTATACCTCAACATAAAGTAAACAAAAATCCTCACAAATTGGACCAATATAATGATAAACAGAGAAAAGATTGAAATTGCCAAGGATTTCATTTTACTTGGATCCACAATTGACATACATGGAAGTAGCAGTCAAGAAATCAAACAACTCATTGCACTGGGCAAATCTGCTGCAAAAGACCTCTTTAAAATATTAAAGCACAAAGACATCACTTTGAAGACTAAGGTGCACTGACCCAAGCCTTGGTATTTTCAGTCACCTCATATGCATATGAAAGCTGGACAATGAATAAGGTAGACTGAAGAAGAATTGATGCCTTTGAATTATGGTGTTGGTGAGGAATATTGAATGGACTGCTAGAAGAATGATCACATTTGTTTTGGAAGAAGTACAGCCAGAATGCTTCTTGAAGTGAGCATGGTGAGACTTCATCTCTCATACTTTGGTCATTTTATCAGGAGAGACAAGACCCTGGAAAAGGACATCATGCTTGGTAAACAGAAGGTCAATGAAGGAAAGGAGATGAAGACCGTCAATGAGATGGATTGACACATGGCTGCAAAAATGGTGTCAAACATAGCAACAATTGTTAGGATGGTGAAAGAACGAGCAATGTTTCATTGTTATACATAGGGTCACTATAAGCATAATCTTCATTGAAGCTCCAAGTCAACAAGCCTCCCTCATGGCTCATCTCTAAATCATTAGCAAAAAAAAAAACATGGACTGATTACCAGACATTTGGGCAAAGCTTCTAGCGTGGAAGATAGATACCATACAAACAAACAAACAAAGTAGAAGGTAAAAAAAAAAAAGCAAGAAGAAACTGACTATGCATGGAGAAGAAAATTAAAGAAAAACAAGACAGATAAGACATCATAGCCATGAAACAAAAAACAAAGGATTCTATAAAATCACAAGAATCAGAGAATGAAAAAAGAGAACTCTTGGAAATTCAAAGTATGACAAAGGAAATGATACAATCAATAGGCTTGAAGAAACAGAGAAGAAAGTATATTGTAAAAAAGGAAAATAGGGGGAAAAAGACAAGGAAGTTAGAGGACTAGTCCAGGCAATCAACATCCAAATAAAAGATATCCAAAAAGAGAGAACAGAGAAAATGGAAAGTATAAGTCATAATGAAATAAATCAAGAAAATGTCTCTGTCCCAATGGATATGAGTGTATAGACTGAAAGCATTCACCAAGGGTCCTGTATACCAGAGACTTGTGTAGCACTTACTGTGTGTGCATGTTACTAGTCTGTTTTACATGTATTAACTTACTTAATAGTAATAAAAGCCTTATATTCTGGGTGTCTTTATAATCATCACCCCCATTTTACAGAAGAAGAAACTGAGGCACACAAGCACACAAAGGTTAATAAGCAACTTGCTCAAGATCACACAGCCAGTAAGTTCCAGAGCCAGGATTTGAAGGCAGACTAAACAGCACCAGAGCCCACTGCACAATAAACACTACTATGCACCAGGGAGTACTATTATGAAATTTCAGAATGCTGTATAGACAGTTCTATATGATTTTTAAAACCAGGTGTACATAGTATATGATAGGACATGTATAGCCCAGCCCTTGACCAAGGACCTGAGGGGAAATTCATGCAGACTTCTGTTGCTACCTCCCCGTGAAACTTCCTCCTCTCCAATATCCTGCCCTGCAAATTCCAGCCTAAATTCCTGTCCCACTTCCCAGTTCCACAATAACCGTGGTCTACACTTGAGCTCACTTCCCTACACTGTAGCCAGTAAAAGTGTCCCCATCACTAAGCTAGGGGAGAATGTGATGATGCTCACCTTCCATTCTCAAGGAGCACAGTCCCCACGGTTCACTGTCAAACACCTGAAAAAAGTCACCTAAGATATTTTGCCCAGTTCTGTAGTTGTTCATGGGGCAGTGGTAGTTCAGTGGTGGAATTCTTGCCTTCCCTGTGGGACACCCAAGTTAGATTTCTGGCTAATGTACCTCAAATGCAGCCCACATCCATCTGCCACTTGGAAGCTGCATGCTACTATGATGCTGTACACGTTTCAGCAAGTTTACAGAGTAAGACAAACTAGGAGGAAAGACCTGGTGACCTATTTCCAAAAATCACTCAATAAAAACCCTATGGATCACAATGGCTCAAGGCACAATTGATTCATAACCAAACACGGGGATGGCTCAAGACCAGGTAGTGTTTTGTTCTGTTGTGCACAGGATCACTGTGTGTCAGGCTCCAGCAGCCAACAACAATAACCTAGTTGTTCACTGCAGGATGTTAAGTCTGAAACCAGTCTTTGTATATCTAAAAATATCTTCGTTTGATCCTCACATTTTAAAAATCCTATGTTCAAAAATCTTCTCCTTCAACATTTTGATGCTATTTCTTGTTGGACTATTGCAGCCAGTGTTTCTGTTGGGAAATTAATATCGATCTGATTTTCATTATTTTGCTCTATACTTGCATCAGATTCCTTTATTTGTCTAAGTAATAAGGTTTTAAATTTCTGTGTCATTTGTTATATTGGGCCTGATTCCTCTGGTGTAGGTTGTCTATAATTTGTTATTCTTCATGATGTTCCCACTCTTTGCACATTATGATTTCTTGAGAGTTCTTCCATATTATACCCAAGATTACCAGTTGCTTCCGCTTTTGATGACTACATGGGTGGCCCAATGACAAGGGTGGCCCCAACTGCTGTTTTCACTGTCAACAGGGAAGAGGTCAGTTAAGTGCCTCTACTGAAGTTCTCCAGGCTTTCCTGCAGTCGTTTCCCCTCCTCCTTTCATCCGTCTCTCCTTAGGATACACTGCCCAGTTCATCTACATGAGGAACTGTTTTCTCTAAGAGTGGGAGAGACTGGCGGGGCGCCTATTGGCCATCTGTGACTGGCATTACCAATACCAGTGCTGAAACCAAAGAAAGGTTATTTTCATCAAATCCTCTTTTATATGGAGCCCTGGGTGTCTCATGTTCTGCCCTGGACTAAAAACACCAAAGTCAGTGCAGAAAATGCAACCTTGAGTATATAATCCAAGGTCCTAGTTTGCAAACACAATAGACAAGACTCATTCAGCTCCTGTCCTAGCCTGCCCCACTGAGACTACAGCTCCTACCCTGGGCTGGCCCAAGATTCCATCTAGAGACTTAAACCCTCACCTACACTCTCCTGTCGCTCCTCAGCTCTCTTCTGCTGCAGCCCCTCATTTTCCTGAGGGTTTCTTACTTTTGATGTAGTCATTAAAGCCTGCTTCTGGATTCTTTCTGCCTTCCTATGTCTTTGCAGATTTCAGTGCAAGGAAAGGAGCCAGAAGCTCATCCTCCTCTAGGATCCCCCTGGGGATACCTCCTATGGACCCTCAAGCCCCCTTAGAGATGCTGCACCAGGCTGTGGGGAATGCAGGCCTAAATCAGCCTTGCTGCAAAGAGTTGAACCTACATCTCCAGTACCTGGCTAGAATTACAACAGTTGGCTGTGTCACAGGGGTGTTATCCTTTAGGGCATGCCCCTAGGCTCTTAAAGTGACTTAGTTCAAATGGCAGGCAATTCTTAAAGGAAACAAAAACATCTTAATTCCCAGGGATGATGCTATGCACTCAGGTTATGTCTTCCTAAAGACACAGTGGCTACAGCAATGAGCTCAGGTATAGCAAGGATTGTGAGATGGTGCATGAGTGGACAGGGTTTCATTCTGTTGTACACAGGGTCACTATGAAGCAGAGCTGACTCGACAGCACCCAACAACAACAACAGTGCGCACCTCAATACTTAGAATTTTGTTATGCTTGTAACCAAATAAACCAAACCCACTGCTATAGAGTTAACTCTGACTCATAACAACCTTCTAGTTATCAGCCGAATGCCTTAACCACTGCACCACTAGAGCTCCTTTGTTATGCTTATTAAGTGCCTATATTTCCACATTATTTACTGTATATCATTACATAAATTATGTATATCCTGTATATCATTACATAAATTATGAAACTTTATTGTCTTTAGAAACATGAGTGGAAGAAAAATTGTTTTTCGCAATAGCAAGTCATGCTATCCCCAAAATAAATGCATTTCTCATCATTAGTAAAAATAGCAGTCTTAGTTATATTATTAATATTATGTTATGCACATTTTTGTTTAAGAAGTCTGTAAAATGTTACATAAAGGGCCTCAGTTACTGTTCTAATTGGTTTATGAATATTATCTTGCTTACTGTATGTAAAGAAGCTCTGGTGGCTCAGTGGTTAAAGCATTCAGCTGCTAACCAAAAGGACAATGGTTTGAATCTATCAGCCACTTCATTGGAGAAAGATAAGGTAGTCTGCTTCCATAAAGATTTACAACCTTGGAAACCTTTTGGGGCAGTTTTACTTTGTTCTATGGGGTCATTATGAGTCAGAATACACTCAATGGCAATGGGTTTGGTTTGGAATGTATGTGTATGTTGGATATGTTCATCTTGGGTGCCTCTATAACTATCATCTTCATTTTACAGATGAAGAAACTGAGGCACACAAAAGTTTTGTTGCTCTTGGCACGCACACAAACACAACACACACACCTTTAGCCCCTACAGAAAAAAAAAAAAAAAAAAAGAAATCCCAAATCATTAAGAAACATTTTGTAGTATCTGCAGAAGTTTAGAAACTACTAACATTTTGCGACGATCTGGTGGGTGTCTAGTAAAGATGGCTCCAAAGCCCATGGCAGGCAATCCAGTGTCCCTGAAAACAAGATAACAAGTTTTAGAAAACATGTCAAATCACCACTTAGCAACTTTCAAAACCACATAAAACTAATTTGAGGCTGAATTTTGATGATGATCATTTTTAAAAGAGGCTTCACAGTTGGAACTTTTATGTACCTTGCAAAATAAAGTTTTCCAAAAAGTAAATGAAAAGTCTAGCATTTTGTCATTACTTTGACTGCATTTCCCAATGACTACAAGATAACACAATGTCTACATCATGCACTTCCACAAGAAGGCACTGTGTCAGATTGCAGGATCACAGAAATGACTAAGAAAACAGTGTCCACCCTCAAGGAACTCTCTATCTCTGTAGAAACTCTTACCTGTAGAAACCAGAATGTCAGTCCAATTGTTATACAGAGTATAACAAAATGCTAAGCACGAGCAGAAACCAGGGAAGCCTGAAACAAAAGTGTTTGATGTGTTCCTGTAATAGGTAGCTGGACCACTATACTTCTTTGCTGCTTATGTAAATCCTATTCTGCCTGTACATGCCCTGTAAGAAAAGTATTAAGAATACCTTTCAATAAGCCCAGAGTTTAATGTGTTCTCATTCAGTAAGGCCTTGCTCTTTATTTCAGCCAATTCTGTGTTTAAACAAACTTGAGCCATCTGTTCATGAGTTTCTGATATCCAAATCTGGAAAAGCAGAAGCCACATAGAGGAAAAATAAATGAGTGCCAAATAAAGGTCACTTACTAAAATATACTTCTGTTTGAGTACATTCTGATTTTTACTTCCTGACTCCAATTGGCATTAAAAAATAAATAATATCATATTTTGTAACAGTCAACTATTTCATCATAAATATGTGAAAATGGCAATTCTTACCATGTATGATTGGGAAAATAAAAAACAAATTGGTTGTTATGAAAAGTGCTGCATTCAACCAAAACCCAACTCTACCTGCTTTCTACTTCTTCCTATATCTTCCTGATGTTTGATGTATTTTAACTTCCCTAAGTAAGAAAATGTTTTGTAGCAGTCACTTTGTAAGTCACAAAGGACTTCAGATGTCATCATTGTTGTCACCACCATCATTATTAGTATTGTTCATTCTCTATCACAGAGGATATTTCAATGAATTATCAAGCAATTATTACTATTAGGACATCTGTGAAAGATGTACTCAGATCAATTAAAGAAGTGCCACAGGTGGTATCTAGGGATCTTAGGAGTAAAAATGGGTGCTGAAGATACAATATTTTCTCCAAAGGAAACTCTAGAAATCACAAATGTGAAAGGACACAATAGAGAACCAGAACTCACCACCACCAAGAGAACCCATCACTTTACCCAAACCTGAAGACTAGGCTTCCCAAGGCATACAGTGAAGTCCCAGAACACATTCATGCCACTAGAGTTTCTGCTTAAGAAAAAGAGACCATTCTTTAGGAACTTGGAGCCTTCAACAGCAAGAGTATCATGTTGTTGTTGTTGTTAGATGCTGTCAAGTCAGTTCCAATTCATAGCAACCCTATGTACAATAGAATACAACACTGCCCAGTCCTACACTATCCTCACAACTGTTGCTATATTTAAGCTCACTGTTATAGCCACTGTGTCAATTCATCTCTCTTGAGGGCTTTCCTATTTTTTGCTGACCCTGTACTTTACCAAGCATCATGTCCTTCTTCAGGGACTGGTCCCTCCTGATAACATGCCCAAAGTACATAAGACAAAGACTCACCATGCTCACTTCCAAGACTTTCATAGTCACAGTCAATGCCTTTGAATCACTTTGGGTCAATCATAAGGCTCTGCCATAACTAAGCATCTATGCCATCAGAGCATTTTTCACTCCAGTCTCTGGTCCTGGCTCCCTCGCTTACTCCATGACTTTCAGGGTCTTAGGCTTTTTCCATCATTGCTCTCTAAGACTTCAGTCTCCTGAACCACCAGCCTTCCAGCCTAGTTTCCCAGTTCTGACTGCTATGTCCTAGCTCAACTTCTCTTCCTCTTAGATTCCCAGGTTCCAAGTCAATGATAGAGGACGTCGTACTGGACATCATATTCTGTATTTTAACAAAAAAGAAGTATCTTAAAAAATAAAATTATTAGCCATCATTTTTCTTTAAGGTATAAGATTGACCAAAAAATTAATCTTAGGTATGCACTGATCATTTACAGCAGTAAAATGTTTCCACAAGTCAATCAGTACCTTTGATAATTGTTTTGTGAAAGAGATTCCCAAACAGAAAATAATGAGTGAAAGAAAACAGTTAATATTTGCATATTTTGTTGTTGTTGTTATGTGCCATCGAGTCAGCCCTGACTCATAGTGACCCCTCCTTGGGTTTCCAAGGCAGTATCACCATGGAAGTAGATTGCCCAATCTTCCTTCCGAGGAGCAGCTGGTGGGTTTGAACTGCCAGCCTTCTGGTTAGCAGTCAAGTGCCTTAGGCACTACGCTACCAGAGCTCCCAATATTTGCATTAGTAGAGCTTAAATTTATTGTTTATTCTGCATCAGACATATATGCATTACTTTATTAAATACTCAAAACAATTCTGTGACTGTTGTGTATCAAACTTGGTCTCAGAAGGAAAATGCAATCAGTGGGGAAACAGAGGAGAGTTTAAAGAAGGATCTATTTATATAAAAGTGTGGCTAGCATTTTAAAGGGAAGCAACAAGTTACAACTTAGTAAGTGGTGGTTGTTGTTGTTATGTGCCGTGCAGTCAGACCTGACTCATAGAGACTCCTCATTGGGTTTCCAAGGCAGTATCACTACCCAAGTAGATTGCCCAACTGTTCTGGTTACCTACTGCCACTCTGACAAGAAATATACCACAAATAGGATGGCCTTAACAAACAGGAGTTTATTCTTACAATTTGGAGGTTTTAAGTCCAAGTTTAAAGTGCCAGGCTCTAAGGGCTGGGTGTAAGCCCCTCAACCTTGGGGTCCAGCTCTGCCTCCTGCTCCCAACCCACTGGAGCTAGAGGCTTTTCTTCACTCAGACAGCTGCTAGCTGCTGGGGCTGAGAAACCCCAAGGTTGACAAATAAAATGGCACAGTCCCGATGTTACCAAACCACACGGCAAGCCATTAATTTAAGTCCATTGTAAGTCCCAAGGTCGGCAGAGCATGACAGGCTGCTAAACAATGATACGGCTACATGCAGGGTCCAAGCGTGCCATAGGCTAGAGACCATTCCCAAGGCTTCTCCTTATATACAGAAAGCAGACCACATCCCAAAGGCAGCTACTCAGCTGCTTGTGGTAGATCCCACCATGGAGTTGATTGCCAGTCTCATCATGGGGAATAACTACCACCAGCTGCCCAGCCATTCAACCAGGCCCAGCCAAGTTGACACACAAACATAACCACCACACCAACCTTCCTTCCAAGGAGTGCCTGATAGGTTTGAACTGCCAGCTTTCAAGGTATAATGTTGACCAAAAAATTAACCTTAGGTTAATTTCAGCTGGTTAGCAGTCAAATGCCTTAGACACTACACCACCAGGAGCCAAGAATAAAACTGAAGCCCTCTGATGCCAGAGCCTGCTCTTAATCTCTGTAGGTCACCTGTATCAGAAGTAAATTTTATCCCCCAATATCAAACCTCCCCTGCTTCCTCAGTAATAGAACCTCCAACATTTAACTGGGTACATGGCCTTACAGAAACCATTTTCCAGTTATATACGACCAGGACTGGTTCTGGACAACTAGGTTAAGTATAAGTAGTTTATATAACTTCCAGGGAAGGTCCTTCTGTTTTTCTTTTCTTGCTACCTAGAATGTGGACATAACAACTGTTGTCCAGCAGTTAGTTATCTTGGACCTCAATGACAAGGGTCCTACCCAAAGAATGGGAGCATAAATCTGGAAGGAGTGAGTCTCTGACAAATTTGTGGAATTTCTATACCAGTCCTTGCCTGCTTTCCTCCAGATTTTTTAGATGAAAGAATGAAGCGTTCTGTGAACAACCACCGTTAATTTGTGGTTTCTGTTGAATGCAGCAAACTTAATCCTACCCATTCACAATGTGAAAAATCACTTGGGTATAAAAATGTTCATAACCTGACATAAGGATGGATAATTCATAAAAGTACTGCCATATGTTTAAAAGTCTTTTGGGCTTTATATATATATCACAAACTAAAGATTAGCAATTTGGTTTGTGAAATAGCTAAATTAACACATCACAAACTCACAGGATAATTACAAAATTTTCCATTTAATTTGCATAATAAAATTGAGCTTGAGTCAATGGTAACATAAAAAAATCTAATGTGCACAGAAAGTTCACTTCATAATCACATAATGCTTACTCCTTGTTGTCTTGAGTATCAATTTTTTTAAGTCTCACTTTCTAATCTTCCATAATGAACTCTTCATATATGTGCTACATTTAAGAAAACCCAATAGAGGTATAACCCAGGTAACTTTAACATGGAATATAAACCTCAAGTTCCGCATTTGAGGGTAACTAATCTTCTTCTGCTGAGGATGACTCATCCCTTGACAGAATTTCCTTTGGCAGTTGTTATGGATTGAATAGTCCCCCAAAAGGATGTGTTATGGTTCTAATCCCTGATACTTATAAATCTAAACTTGTTTGGAAACAACAGGGTCTTTGAAGATATTATCAGTTAACATGAGGTCATAGCAGAGTAGGACAGACCTTAATTCCATCTGAGTGTGTCCTTATAAAAGAGAAGAGCAACAGAGGAAAAACAGGCTTGTGAAGGTGCCGTCTACACACCAAGGCGTGTCTATCACAAGTTGGTAGAGACAAGAAGGGATCTTCCCTTAAAGCCTTAGGAAGGAGCACGACCCTGCCTGACACCCTGAATTCAACAACTAGCCTCCAGTTTGTGAGACAATAAAATTCTGTTGTTCAAAGCCATCCACTTTGTACACTTTGGTCCAGCGGCTCCAGGAAACGAATACAGCTGCATTCATTTTAGATGAGCCCCAGCAGACACTTCTATCTTGGGTTCCTTATAGGGTCCTCAGAAAACATAGTTTTGGATTCAGATTGAAGGAAGTACGGGTACTTTCCGAGTCAAGTTTCCACTCTGATGCCATAGGCTGTTTCAAAAATCCTTTAGTTTATATCCTTTAGTCTCACATGAGTCAGACTCCAGCCTACCAAGCTTCCCAATCTCCAGGGAACGCACACCAAGTTCTCTGCATGGCTCCATTCTAAGGCTTGAAGTGAAGGGGACATACTTCTCATCCCTACACCCTTCGGGATGAGAGGGAGAGATTCAGCACACACACTCTTTCCATATGACTTCTCCAAATTCCAAATACTCACAGCCAAGTCTCTCCAACTTCAACTCTTTTTGTTGTTGTTATTTAAATTCTCAAGGTATATGAGAGACCAAAGGTTGGGCAATCTATCCGTCGTGATACCGTCTCGGAAACTCAAGGAGGGGTCGCTATGAGTCAGGTTCGACTCGACGGCACATAACAACAACAACAACAACATGAGAGACCAAAAGACACAAAATCAGTTATTGTCCAAATGTTTTGCATGTTCTGCATTATTGATTTAACCCTTCATTTTGGAATGAAGAAGAAATTGGCACCTATTGTCTTAGATACTCAGTCATAACTAAGAAAGAGTCCTATTTTATCCCTTTAAACAGCCCCACCACCAAGGGTAGTTTTTTATATCACCACAAAT